CTCTGACAAAATCGTCGCTCTCTACTGCGAAGCGAGATATTAATAGACAAAGTTGAGGGCGTGTTAGGTTAGAAAATCTGTCATACCATCTATCTTTAGCTATGTAACTGGGGGGCTTCGCCCCCCAGACCCCCCATAACACGGTGGGGTGGGAGCTACAGTCTTTTGTGAGAAATTCACTCTTTAGCTTAAACATAAGAGACTATAGCTCCTACCCCCCGTGATAGGGGGGTCTGGGGGGCAATGCCCCCCAGTTACATAGCTAGAGATAGATGGTATGACAGATTTTCTAATCTAACACGCCCTCAACTTTGTCTATTAATATCTCGCTTCGCAGTAGAGAACGACGATTTTGTCAGAGAAAAAAGTTATTTGGCATGCAAAAACACGTCGATTGAGTCTATTTTCATCGAAATCGGAGGTGAGGCCGCTAAACTAAATAATTACCCAATATGTAACTCAATAAATTATTAAATATTAATATACAATTCCATATATTTATTTTAAAACTGTAGTCTATCATATTCTACAGACAGAAAAATATTCTGTAGTAGATAATAATTTTGTTTAATGGGACTTGTCAAATGAAGAGCACAGATATTGATATGTTCAATCACAAAACTAGGACTATTTTATTTTATACTTATTTTTGCTAAAGAATAAAAAATTCTGTTTATTTGATAATTTCCCTGTATTCTGTTCAGAGCGTGGGTATTATAATCGTTCCGATATTCGGCTAGCTATATTTCTTAATTGTCCATAAACTTTAGAAGGTGGACTGCCCAAAATCAGATTACATATTGCTCTACGGGCTAATTGTATATTCTGGTAGGAACCCAAAATATGTATTTTACTGTCAGCTAATACAATTCGGGTTTTTGTTACATTTTCGATAGTAAATTTTGTCCTTCCACCTTTGCCTGCTAATCTACCAATTGTTCTAGACAAATGATCACCCTTTAGTGATTGTTTAACATCCAGTATTTCGAATGTTTCTACAAACAAATCATCTAAACGCAATAAAGCTAAAGCATCTTCCACTTCAAATCCAGAAATAAATGCTTTTACAAAATCCGCTGCTTTTTGGAGATTTGAAATATCTGGGGTATCAGGCGCAGTTCTAATTTCTACATTCCTAGACTTTAAGTTAAAGCGTATTTGTAATTGCAAATGCTCAACAATAGGTGTAAATATTTGCAACCAATTTTGTTTCAAGGGTGTGTATCGGTGAGCTGGCACTGGAATCTACAATATAAATTTATAATTTAAAATCAGATGCTAATATATATTATAAATATGAAATAGAAATTATGTATATTTTATTATTATTTTACCTTTCTTTGCTCCATAGCAGTTTTAGCTCTTTTTTTAGCTGTATGTGAGTTTACTTTTCCTTGTATGCCATTCACTACTTCTACCTACAGAAAAATAATTACAATATGTAATTATACAAGAAATGAATTGCAAAGTTCCATATATAATCAGAGTATTATTATTTATAAAAAAAAAACATTATTTAAATAACCTCCAACCAAATACAATAGAATAATAGGAAAAAGGGCTAATTCGAGTTCAAGCACAGGATTAATAGTGCTATGTATCATATGGGTAAAACCTTCCTTGTGTTAGGAAATAGAGCAATATTTATTGAACATGAATACTCAATAAATAATCAAACGTTTTGGCTCAATTATGAACCCTCTTCAGTGATATAAAAACTCAAGGTTTACAAAATGAACGCATTACAAGTAAAAGAATTAATTAAAGACCTTAATAAAATGACATGAATGTTATTCGCAGTATTATAGCTGACAAGACCGTTACCCGACTAATATTAAGAAGTTCAAATTAATACTAGAAAGTAGCCGTCATAACGTCTCAGACGTGGCGATGTTATCATTGATAGGATCGTCTCACTTTTAGCCGAGCTCAACAAAGTTATGACGGCTACTGTCTAGTATTAATTTGAACTTCTTAATATTCAGGTATAGTCGTGTAACGGTCTTGTCAGCTATAATATTGCGAATAACATTCATGTTATTTTATTAAGGTCTTTAATTAATTCTTTTACTTGTAATGCGTTTGTTTTGTAAACCTTGAGTTTTTATATCACTGAAGAGGGTTCATAATTGAGTCGAAACATTTGATTATTTATATTGAGTATTCATGTTCAATAAATATTGCTCTATTTCCTAATACAAGGAAGGTTTTACCCATATGGTACATAGCACTATTAATCCTGTGCTTGAACTCGAATTAGCCCTTTTTCCTATTATTTAATTGATATCATTGTTATTAAGTTCTTATTTTCTTTCTCTCAAATACAATAGCAACATTCAAATAAAAACAGTTTATTGTAAGCGCAGTCAGTGTATTATTGGATTTTACTTTAGATCTATCATAGATCTAAAAATATATATATTTTATTATTATCTATTTTATTATTTAAAAGTATATTTTATTTCAAAATGATAAATATTAATCATTCATTGAATGTTTTATTCTATTGAAAACAATAAATATTGTTTAATAATAATACCTCCATGTGATTGTCGCTGGCATGGCGTTTTTTAGCAGATTTCTCTTTAACGCCCACCATTTGAAGATTTTGTTTCATTTCTATATTTTCGGTTTGCATTTTTATATTCAGAGGGAAATAACCACAATAGCGTTTTAGCAACTGAGATAAATAATTGATACAAATTGGAACACCAATTATAGATTTAAGGCGTAGAACGAAATAAGGTTATATTTTTTTTTTCAATAGCTTCCGAAATTCACTGGCTTAGTTTACATCGTGCACTTGATACGCGTACTAAATAGTAACTTTCTATTGGCTTGGTTTACATCGTACTGTTGATACGAGTACTAGTAACTTTCTATTAAATAATCTTAATATTGACAATGCATATCAACGATGACGCATTCAATCGATACAATATGTTTTCTTGATGAGTATTATACCAGCTTAATATATCATTGTTTATATATATCGTCGATATTAAGATTATCTAATAGAAAGTTACTATTTAATACGCGTATCAAGTGCACAATGTAAACCAAGCCATTGGTTTGGTTTACATCGTGAACTTGATACGCGTATTAAATAGTAACTTTCTATCAGATAATCTTAATATCGATGATGTATATAAATAACGATATATTAAGCTATATTATAGTATAATACTAATCAAGAAGACTTAGGATGCTTCCTCATGTGGCATAACTTGCGTAAGGCGATTAAATGAGCGTACGGAAATACGGAAATGCGGAAATACGAAAGACAAAGTTACTAGGACTTACTAGATTTACGTATTTCCGCGCTTTTGTTCCGTAGCTTTATTTCTCCTAAATATTACATGGAGCATATTTTATACGGAAAAGCAGAACGAGGAATTATAAAACATTAATTGTAAACGATATTTATTGATTAAAATGTTTTTATTAAACGGATAAGTTGAAAAAAGAAGCGTATTAATAAAAATTGCAATGAATGAAATAAATATAATTTTTTAAAATGTATACAAATATTTATTTATCACTATACCGTTCCGCATTTTCGCAAAAATTGTGCTTCATGTAATATTTAGGACAACCAAATCAACGGAACGCGTTTACTCCGTTATGTATACTCCTTGTGTGAACACAAATATGTGAAAGAAGATTTAAAAGCTGTAAAGTTTGGCTTATTACATTTGATTGCCACGTTTTTGCTTGCTGCAAATATGATTTTAAATTATATGTTAATGGCTATGATTACACTGGTAATACGAGCATAAAAGCAACCAAAAAGGTACACGGAAGTAACGTAGAAAAAAGTTAGAAAATTATTTTATATCTACAATTATTACAAAAAATTAGAAGACAGACGAAATCGCAGAATGTCGGTAAGACCCATATTTTCTGAACAACGAATATTGTTACAAGGAGCCAGTGATATTTTAATCGTTGAAATGCTATTTCGTCTGACAATGAAAAATATTTTAACTATCTGCGGATGTCACCAACAATGTTCGATGAATTACTAACAATCGTTGGACCTCACATCGAAAAACAGAGTAGTTCGTAATCCAATAAGTGCTCGAATAAGATTGCAGGTGACTTTACGATGGTTGGCTTCGGGTGACAGTATGGTATCACTATCTTATGTTTTTTGCTTGTTCCATATTTCCGCATAAATCCGCGGAAAAGCAGAATGAAACCGCATGGATCCCATTTAGTTACTAGATACTTTTCCGCATTTACGCATTTCCGTGTTTCTGTACGCTCATGTAATCGCACCTTAATAGCTCCTGCCCACAGGACGTGGCAATGCTTGCCGCGCGGCGGAATTTCGTGCGACAGCTAATCAATTGTTACGTCCACGATAGATAACTATATAGGGAAATTTGAAAGTAGTGAAATCAGTGACTTACGTGGACGGTCAACAGAGTGATGGCTCCGCTTTTGGGTCACTCTGCTTTTCACCGAGTTTACCCTGGGTCTCGGGAGCCTGGCGAAACGATTGATGAATCTGGCGAAAAGTCAGCGGTGCTTGTTCTCCTGGCTCGGCCTCGGATGTTCCGATACCACGCGGGTTGATGCGGCCCGCGATTCAGAATTTGATTTCGCAACGTTTGAAATATGAAGGGTAGGCAAAAGTAATTGCAACACAGTCGGATTTTACGACTAAGTATAATATACTGAATAAGTACATGAAGCTACCAGAGACTAACTATGAGAAGAAAATAATTATATATATTGCCTTCTCTACAAATGCGCGCGCTTTTATACGTCGCTTTGTCGCTGAGAGTCGTTCTCCGATTGGTCCATGGAGTTATGGCGAGGGAAGAGATTCATTCCTTTGCATGATGTCACCGCGTCGGTGTCCTGAGTGGTGTTTAGGATTCAGCTTTCATGCTCCTGTTTATGTTGGCTTATCGCACTGAGCGATAGCGGTTTCTTTGGGTCGATCCGAGATCCGTCGATTTCGAGACTCTCCAGCAGCACGCAGCATTCGGCATTTTAATTATAATGTTTTAACGCTCGCGAATATGCATATGCGCACGTACTTACATCTAGTAACATAGGGATATAATATCTAGTGATGTCTGAAATCAGACAAGTCGGCCTCCTGGTCTATAATAATATATTATTAATGTTCTAAAATAGATCCGGACGTTACACAATATGCTGCTTTTCCGTAAGAGCTACAAGGTTATTACGGAAAGCAGCATATTGATTGGCTGTCGTGCGAACTTCCGCCGCGTGGCAAGCATTACCGCGTCCTGTGTGCAGGAACCAGTACGCTTATGGCTGAAAATAAGTTTATAATAATTATTACAAATATTTAGAAATTGCTTACTTTTCACGATTTCATGCTAGGGAAAAAAGTTATATGATTGATAGTAAAATTAAACTCACGTGAAAAAATTCATGATTGATGCCCTGGTTTAACTTTCTATTAAATAATCTTAATATTGACAATCACGACGCATTCAATTGATACAATACCTGTTCTGGATAAATATTATATCAGCTTAATATATCATTGTTTATATACATTGTCGATATTAAGTTACTATTTAATATGCATATCAAGTGCACGATGTAAACCAAGCCAGTGGTATTTAACGAACGACCAAGCTAGTGGCTTGGTAAATTTTGTATTATTTGCATCGTATGAGGAGGGGCAATGGTGGAGACGGGCATACATGGACAGCAGGTCTAAAGGGACGTCTACATTGGAAGTAAGCAGTAAGAAGTAGGAAGTAAGAAATTGACCAATCATAGTTGATTATTCTTCTCACATTCGACTGTGGTTGGTCAATTTCTTACTCTTGCTTCCTACTTCTTGCTATTTACTTCCAATGTAGACGTCCCTTTAAAGAATAGCAACCTTTGACTTTGAGAGACTGAAGGGACGTCTACATTGGAAGTAAGCAGTAAGAAGTAGGAAGTAAGAAATTGACCAATCATAGTTGATTATTCTTCTCGCATTCGACTGTGGTTGGTCAATTTCTTACTCTTCCTTCCTACTTCTTGCTATTTACTTCCAATGTAGACGTCCCTTTAAAGAATAGCAACCTTTGACTTTGAGAGACTGAAGGGACGTCTACATTGGAAGTAAGCAGTAAGAAGTAGGAAGGAAGAAATTGACCAATCATAGTTGATTATTCTTCTCGCATTCGACTGTGGTTGGTCAATTTCTTACTCTTACTTCCTACTTCTTGCTATTTACTTCCAATGTAGACGTCCCTTGACAGCTGTACCATTTGGTACAGTAACATTGGGTGCTTTCCAGCTATGCACACTGTGGCTGTTTACGATAATTCGAGTTGGATTAAGTACGAGTTAGTTTCACTAGGGCCGAGAAATATGATAGGCACAAGCATCTAGTATTTTCAAGATTTATGACAACTCAATGCTGTCCGATAAATCGAGTAGAGTAGAGTAGAGTTAGGGTAGTATAGCGGATAGTATATGTATAAGAATTAACAGTATCAGATAACATAGTTTCGTAAAATATGTAACAATAATATTACAAAACAATTATTTATTATATTTTAGAAAAATTAGAAGCACTAAATTAAATTATGAAAATGATATTAATTTAATGTATTTGTGAAATATTCAATAATAATAGGTTAGAATAATTGTTTTCTACTTTTGGATATTTCACAAATACATGATACCTTTTCATAATTTAATTTAGTGCTTCTAATTTTTCTAAAATGCAACAACTCATTGTTTAGTAATATTATTGTTATATATTTTACGAAACTATGTTACCTGATACTGTTAATTTTTATACATATACTATCCACTATGTTACCCTAACTCTACTCTACTCTACTCTACTCGATTTATCGGACAGCATTGAGTTGTCATGAATCATGAAAATACTAGATGCTTGTGACTATCATATTTTTCAGCCCTAGTGAAACTAATTCGTACTAACTCCAACTCGAATTATCGTAAACACCCTGTGTTACACAAAACTAGTTTATTGGTGGCATATTATCTTACAAGATATTTTAGATAATATATGACCAATAAACTGGTTTTGTGTAACACAGTATAACGTAGCTGGAAAACACCCATTGTTTCTCTCTGTAGTCGCCGTGCGCTCGGGATCGCACCAGAGATGTCGCTTCCGAATGACATCTCTGAGCGTTATCTGGGGAGAGGAAAGTGTCGTGAGTGTGGAGCGTCAGGTAGCTCAGTGGTTTAGAGCAGTCGCCCGGCAAGCGAAAGACCCGGGTTCGAGTCCCGGCCTAGCAGAACCTCTCGATATTTTTCTTCCTCTGGAACGAAAAGATACGCAGATCTCGAATGCATGGCGTCCCGCTGCCACCTAGTATGCCCTCCTCCTTCTATGGAAAATTTTAGTGCGAAAAAATGAAAAAATGAAAACTTTCATGCGAATTGATATCTCCCCTGAAAAGTAATTATCCATATTCATAATAAGTTAATCAACTACGATGTTTGCTGCATGGTGGATAGTTAATGAGGAACAAAACAAAAGAAACGAAAATTTACGTATTATGTGTAAAATTTTAAGAAATACTCAAGATCCTTTTGATATCCTAGAAAAACAATTTTAGGAATTATATAGGTAATAATAATTATTATTATATTATTGTAATTAATTTTATTATTTATTATTTGTTATTTTATTATTTTATTATTTATTATTTATTTTTTGTTTGTGTGTTACATTCATTCTAAAAAAATAATATATAACATGAAGAAATATTATAAGCAAACATGAGAATATTTATAATCTATTATTTTCTCACTTTAATGTAATTATGCTCTATGCAAATGCGCTGGGTTGAGTTGATACATATACTATAGTAAAACTGACTCAACTCGATCCAACTCTGGGGTGCGTTCAAATTCTTTATCCGGGTGCACTCTATTACTAGAAACACTATAGTATACTATAGTATACGCGTACTAAATAGTAACTTTCTATTAGATTCTATTAGATAATCTTAATATCGACGATATATATAAATAATGATATATTAAGCTAGTATAATACTCATCAACAAAACGTATTGTATTGATTAAATGCGTTGCCGCTGTTATACATTGTTGATATTAAGATTATCTAATAGAAAATTACTATTTAGTACCAAGCGTATCAAGTACACGATATAAACCAAGTCATTGGCTGGTTTATATCGTGCACTTGATATCAAATGTCGCTGTCGGACGTCGAACGTAGTCAATGGTCCAATAAGACCTGTTCTATAATACGTGGTATGTCGCTGTTAGACGTCGAACGCAGTTGATAGGCCAATCAGAGGATTTGTTTTTCGAGACGAGTTCTCCTGATTGGACCATTGATTGCGTTCTGACATCCAACTATAACATACGACGTATTGTAGAACCGGACTAAGGAGAACTCGTCTCGAAAAAAAATCCTCTGGCCGATATTCATAGTCGAATCTTATTTCAAGATCGTCTTAAGTAATGTCTTAAGATGCGAATACGGCTCTGTGATTGGTTCATGACATCTTAAAACAGTACTTAAGTTGATCTTAAATATAAGATCTGACTATAAATACCGGCCTCTAATTGGCCCATCAATTGCACTCCGACATACGACAGCGACATACGATGTATTGTAGTACACGGCAATAATCAGAGATCTCAAGGATCATACAAATATATTTCGCTACAATATGCGATATCTGTACGTGTTCGTAACTGCGGACATTAGTGTATTCTAGTAATATCTCTCATATATCCATGATTTCTATGGGATATCTGTAGGATATTGCAATATCCCGACAGGATATCTTTAGGAAATTCCACAGATTTCCCTTTGCTGTGTGGGGCCAGACGACCATCGTGAGCGATGTATCGTGTTTCCTACTAGAGTTCCTAGGAACTTTACGTTCCCACCCCGCATTAATTTTCGTATTACTTATTATAATTAGAATATTTTTTCTGTTAACCAGTTTTATGCAAAATTTGATATTCAGCGAGACTAAATAAAGATTACAAAAAAAACTAGGAGTACATTTTTTATTATAAGTATAATTTCTCTTTTATTTGCTATTGAGTTGTTTTAGGTATTCGTATTATTTATAATTAGAATATTTTTTTTATTAACTATTAGTTTTATGTCTTATATTTTACGACACTTCTGAAATAAAACATCTACCGCTTTAAATTTCAAATCTACAGCTTTTTGGTATGCTATTTACTACCTAATTTTTCAACTACCTGGCAACACTGGGTCGCTCTCAGGTTTCTCTCTGGTTTGATCTATATATATACGTCATTGACTCAAAAACATTAGAAATACTCAAATTATTTTTGTTTAATTATTTTAAAATCTAGATGAAACAAAATTCAACTTTTGAAATGAAATAAAATAAAAGAAATATGGTAATTATATAGTTTACATTCCTCACCTCCGATTTTAACGAAAAAATACTCAATCGACGCACTTTTTAAAGGCAAACAACTTCTCTATTTGGAAAAATCGTCGCTCTTTACTACGAAACGAAATATTAATTGACAAAGTTGATTACTATTAAAGTTAGGAAAACTGTCACTTCGTTGATTGAGTATATTTTCACCGATACTGGAGGTGATGTATGTAAACTGTGTGTAACTGAATAATTACCTAACCTTAATAATGATCCACTTTGTCAATTAATATTTCGCTTCGCAGTAGAGAGCGACGATTTTTCCAAATAGAAAAGTTGTTTGCCTTTAAAAAAACGCGTCGATTGAATATTTTTTCAAATCGGAGGTGAGGAGTATAAACTGTATAATTACCAGAAATATAGCCTAAAATTTGGAACCTTTTTTGGAACGTGTTGGGACGGTATACTTGGTGGCTCTAAAACTTGTATCTTTGTAATCATCTCATCAAGACCTTTAATTTAGTATCTGTTTTAAGTACATTTTTCACTGCCCAAAAATGGGCCACATGTTGGCATCACTCTTTATGAGCACAAAAATTTCACGTGCAAATTTCATAAATTTTCATAAATTCTCACGAAATCTGCATTAAAAACTTAAATTTAAGTTTTATTAAACTTAACAATTACAGAGATTTACATATGTAATCGACATTATAGTTCAAATACGTTTATCAATATATATTAATATAATTGTTACCTTAAATATGTATTTTTTGATAATTAGAAATTATAATTCATTGTATTGATAAGCATTTTGTGTAAAAATATAATCTCGTTCCTATACCGTTACATCTTATATTACTTCGATGTTGATTTCTGAATCTTGCTATTAGAAAGTCGAATGTTATTGAATCTCTTACATGTCTTCATGATCAAAGATGCATCGCCGCTACCAGATATAGCACGTTCACTAAATTTTCCCGTCACCAGGGATTTGTTTAAACAACTTTCCGCTTCTGATTTCACACTCCCACGTAATTTTTCCACCACGTTAGAAACCGATTCCTTCTCTGCGGTAGCAGAAGATACATTTAGCACCTTTGAGGAAGACTGACAAAGTGAAAACGTTGCATTCGCTGTCGTAGATAACATGCTGATCTTCTCTAAAGCAGCTGAAACACAACGCAGGGATGTGACCATAGTTTCAGAGTGAATGTACTTCTCCGAGCATATTTTACCTGTCAAATCTATACTCTCTTCGGTGATGTCAATGTTAGCGCTGTGAACTTTGAAACTATCTCTGTCGAAAAGATGTTGTCTGACGTTAGACAGATTCCTGAGAGATATTTCGCTTCTAACGACCGATTCCGCCGTGTTTTTTGTTTTATGCGGCGTATTGTACATAATTGTGTGCTCGTTGCGCAGCGTTCGGCCGCTTTTTATATAAGGTATCAAACACGACAAATCCGACGGCTTGTGCACGGTGCTGTTGGCTGGTTGAATGGACAACGGCGGTTTATACGCTTTTACTGAAATTTACAATTAGATTTATCAGTCTTTTACTTTCAATTTCCTTTCCATTGTTTCAATCTTGGAACTTTTGATCAACTTTTTGAGTTCCGTTTTCTTTTTACATTTTAGTATTATTTTAATAAAAGGTAGATGTACAGATAGAAAGTAAGATATCAGGTAGGTGTAAAAAGTATTTCAAAAGTTTGATTTGAAAAATAGTTTCGAGTAGGAAAAGATAAGAATAGTTTTATTGTAAAAAAATAGAAAATTGATAAATTAATGAAAATGACTTTTTTCAAGAATTATCACCTGCAAAAACGTTAAACAACATAGAAAGAGATCAGATTTTTATTTTTAAAAATATATTACAAGCCGTATCTTTAAGGGTACGCCGCGACTCAAAGAGTTTATATATATATATATATTCTCAAATTCTTACAAACCTGTATAGGGCGTTCTAATATAAACTGAACTGCTCTCGTCGCGTGGTAAACCATAAACAGTAGGTGGAAAATTGATGTTACTGGTATTGAAAGTGCCTGTTGCAATATGCGAATTTAATTTTGTTTTAATAATACTTTAAAATTTTTGTTTTAATTGTCGTATAATAAATATAGGCTATTATACTTGTCGTGTTGTGGCTGAAGTTTCCTTGGCTTCTTCTAGATTTCTCGTGTGTCGTGTTGTTTATGATCATGGATAATGCGGGTTGCAGTCTCTGAACGACTTTTAGGATCAATTCACAACGTTTTATTACACGCAATTGTTGCGGTTCCGTCGCGTTTTGCACCAGAAGAGTCTTAGCGGCTGCGTTGGCTTCAAATATAGCTGTGGAGTAAAATAAAAAAAACTTGTGTATCTCATATGACAAAAATACAATCAATCGAATTGTATGATCTTGTTTATGCATCGACTGTTTAATATGCGTATCAAATAGCAATTTTATGCTAAATTATCACTTTGGCTACACACACACACGCGCACACACACGCGCACACACGCGCACATACGCGCACACACGCCGGCATTAAACATATGTGACGGTGTAGTGTAATTTTTCTTTATATATATATATATATATATATATGTGTGTGTGTGTGTGTACATATATATATATACATATATTTTTTATATATACATATATATATATATTTAATTTAATTATAAATAATATAATTATTTATAATTAATTATAAATAATTATAATATATATATATATATGTATATATTATAATTATTTATAATTAATTATAAATATAATTAATTATATATATAATTAATTATATATATATATTTAATTTAGAGAAATTTTCTAATTTAATACAATTATATAAAAAAATACGAGATGAGTTGCAGAGGCTTTTCCAGGAACCACAGAAAATCCTCATCCTGTACTTTTTATATAATTATGTAAAATTAGTTTCTATATATATACACACACACACACGCACACACACATACACACATACATATACACATACACACATGTATATATGTATGTATGTATGTGTGTGTGTGTGTATAGAAACTAATTTTACATAATTATATAAAAAGTACAGGATGAGGATTTTCTGTGATTCCTGGAAAATCCGTTTTAACTAAAAAATGAAAATAAAAGTTACAATCTCCAATGGCCTTGACTTTTACAAATGTTATACAAATGATGATGTTAAAAATTCAAGAGGTTTTAGTCGTCATTTCGACGTGGTCATTTCCAAATGGTCCACTCACGTCATTATCATCATATCCACGTCGTTAATCCTGGGTAAAGCTAAGAACGGATAAAAAATTATCGTAGAAATTTACGATAATTCGAAAAAACATTCCGACAAAAGTTACTTTTCTTCGACATAGCGTCATTATAGGGGATTCCCTTTGAAGAAAACAAAGGTTACCCAATTTTCGCCGAATGCAGCGCCATCTATCAGAAATAAAAAAAAAGTTCAGACAAAAGTTACGTGTTTTTGGATGTAGAATCCGAATCTGTAATAAAAAGTAGGGGTTCCCATTTAATATTTCAAAGATATTTCAAAGATATTTCATCCCCAGGGGGGGCGGAAGATGGATAATTTTTGTGGGATTGAATTGCGCCCTCGAAACTATTGAGGGTTTATTTGGGACATTTTTGTCGTACAATGCTTATTTTTCGAGATATTTAGCAGTCTCAAGTTAAAAAAAACACCCTGTATAGTGTATTAAACTATGTTAATTAGTAAATTAAATTAATTTGCATTAGGCTTCTGGTTAGTCGCTGTGATTGTCCTTGTTTAATGACGCCAGAAGCGAGAAAACGCATGCTAAGATTTCGTCCGTTATACTTTTAATAAAAAAGATATATCTATAAAGTGACATTAGTGATCCATTCAGAACATTTATAAAATTGTCCACTTTTCTTTTGCTCGAACAATTAATAAATAATCGCAAAATTAACTTGACATGGAATCTTCCTTTTTAATCTCTTTTCTCAAGATTATGTCAATGTTAATTTTGACTATTTATTGATTGTTCGAGCAAAAGAAAAGTATTCGGATAATTTTACAAGTATGCTGAATCGTTCACCAATGCCATTTTGTGGACATATTTTTTCAATTAAAAGTGTAACGGCCGAAATTTTGACATGCGTTTTCTCGCTTTTGATGTTAAACAACGACAGCTACAGCGATAAGTCTGGAGCCTTAATTATATGAGCTTGGTATATCATCGTTTACAAGCATCCTTGATTAAAGTAATATGATAAGAAATATACCTGTTTACACTTTAATTTTGACGACAGCGTATCAAGCTAGTACAATTTGCATTATATAGACGTATCAATAAAGATATTTTAATATAAAATTACTAAATAGTATGTGCATTCAACAATTGTTGCAAACAAGGGTCTTGTTTATATTGATCGATGTGTAAGTGATAGTGTATTAATTTATACTAATTAACACATTCAACACGTTACCATGATTTATTTGGAAGGCTCTTCCCCACAGACTACTTTGTATTTTTTTCATAATTGTGTAAAACAGACTTAGTTGGACATAGAAGAAAAATTTTACTTTTTGATATATCGTTATTTATACCCATCGTAGAGATTAAAATAATTTAATAAAAAGTATTATAAAGCTTGTATTTACTCTCTCTCTCTCTCAAATTGTTTACGTGTACTAACTAGTAATTTTACATTAAACAGTCTTTATTTCAATAGATATAAACGATGGCATATTAAATTGCCGTGCTTTTTGCTGCACATGTTTGGTACGTTTGTCGAAATGAAGATAATTCGATAGAAAGTTGCTATAAATAACACAATGTAATAATATAACATGAAGTTATATAAAAGAATATAATATAAATACATAATACTATGTAATTATTATATTAGTTATTAGTATTTGGTACACCCCAGTAAACAATCTGTACGCAGATTGGCAACAGGATCTGTCGAATTCGAGCAGAATCTGTCGACAGATCCATAGTCATCTGCGTTCCCAGTCTATCGTCAGACTGCTGACAGGGTCTGTTAACAGGCTCTGACATTAGATTGGCGGCAGATTGCACGCAGATCCTGCCGACAGACTCTGACGGCAGATTGCGTGCAGATCCTGTCGTTTCGTAGGTTCTTCAATTAAATTTTTGGTAGAAAATTTTCTCATAATTTTTTATAATTACTCATAGAATAAGCGCTTTCTCATAAATACTCATAATACTCGTAAAATACAATGAAAAAAAAAGTTTTTCTATATTATTTTTTCATCATTTTTAAGATTTTCTGTGGTGAGATCACATAGATTCTGTGTGCAATCTGTTGCCATTCTACAGACACTGTTGACAGACTCTGCGCAAAATCTGCTCGCGCAGGCTATCTGAGACGTATAAAACGATCAGTGTAAATAATCAAAATGTATGTTTATACCTGCTTTCAATTCTCTTGTCATCATTATCGTCTGACGGTCGATGTTCTCGGTACCTATGTCGTTCATGACTGCAGTCACTTGGCTGGATAAAGCCGAGGCGCGCTGAACAATAGCATGCACCTGCAGCTGAGTTACTGGTTGTCTGTTATCCAGACAATCTGACATCGTTGTTACATATTCTTGAAGACTATCCAAAACTACCTGAATAAATGATACACTCAAGCATTCTCAAAATGACCCTCGACTGCTCGATTATATCTACCTGGCAAAAGGCGGCTGAGTTTATAATAAGATTCACGACATTTTGAAACTTATTCATCTCCAATTGCCACTGTGCGGTCAACAGCTTGACGCTGGAATGCATCTCATTGTTATCCGGATGCAAGTAGAAGGAAGTGATCGCGGATATCAATTCGGTCTCCAAGGATTCGAATCCCGCGAGGCAGTTGCGAATCTTATTATTGCCTAAAACAACCACGTTAAATACTTTTGATCACTCTAAACAGATCGTCCAGATAGACATATTTCGGCATATTGTCTACTTAATAATTAGGATAAGTACGCAAAAATGCGTACTCATACAACAAAAACTTTACATAAAAAAAGTCTTACTTTACATAAAAGAATTTAATGCCATGAAAATTTCGGCAATATTTTGATGCGACGAAAATTACTGCTTATTTTGCCGAAAATAAAACAATTCAGAATTATTGTAATAAGAAATATTTTGATTAAAATTATGGCGTAATAAAAAGGTATTTCTTAAAACAAGTATATTATAAACACGTTGTGTTGTTGCAATAGCGTCACGAAGTATACATTAAGGCTTTTGGTCTCTCGCCGCGATCGTCTTGATTTATAACATCAAAAATCAGAAAATATACGTTAAAAATTCTTTGTAATACGTTGTAATAAAATCTGTTTACAGATTAATACTTGCAATCGATTGAGCAGACCTATAAAATAATCTGGACATTTTCCTTTTGCTCTAATAATAAATTGCCGTAAAATTGACATGACAAAAACATGAAAAAAAATTGATTAAAAATTTATTTACTGATTGTATCCGAACAAATGGAAATTGTTCGGACTATTTTATAAATCTGCTTGATTAATTACAAGTGTCATTTTATGAATACATCTTTTTATTTCAATATATTTTGTAAAAATCTTTAACGTGTATTTTCTCACTTCTGACGTCATTAGTTATGAGTTCCACAGCCAAGAGTAGGTAGCCTTAAAATGTTTGCGTGTTATGTTCAGCATTTTTGTCTATCCGGACGCTAAGAATTTCCATACATCATAAATAAAAGCGACTAACGATTCATGTCTTTGCAACAGGCGATAGCGAACATTCCGATCTGCACGGTTTGGTCGAAAAGTTGGTCGAAATCTTCTATGAGATTGTTCAGATCGTTCTTGGACCGTTCCTTCGCGTTCAACGAACTTCCGCACGTCGTAACGAGCTTTTTCAACACGACGTAAGGATTGCTGAAGACCTCCATGACAAGAGTCAATACCGCTATATTGACTTTACGTTCCAAACGATAAAGAGCATCGGTCAAGGTATGCATAAACAAAGTATTCAGCGCTACGTCCGGTGTCTCCGATTGTAATTGTTGCTTCAGCTTTTCGTATTCCTGCACTATGAATTGGCATGATCCAGTTATAGCTTTGAAATTATATGGCTGGCACACCTGTGTAATCGCCATGGCGTGAGAGAAGACGTCTTCTAGTCTCAGCCACAGTTCCGCGCACTCGGACAGTTGCTCTTGATGCATTTTGTTCGGTATTTCTAATATAATATCTAGTGCTAAATCCATTCTACAAAGATGTACCATAGTGTCAAAAGTGTATACTCAAAATATGAGCGTAAAAAACATGTTGGTTTTCTCACCTGTAAACGAAGTGATTCTCTTTTTCGAAAACTTCTTCCTTCATCGACGGATTCAAGCCAGTGAGCAGCTCTAGGATCATTTCGCAACAAGTACATATTCTGCCACAAATGTATTTCTTGCAAGCCTACACACATTCGTGAATTGTAAAGACAAATAACCAAGAAATGATTATTAAATATTTACATATATAAAATATAAAATGCCTGTCTGTATATTCTCTATTAACTCCTAAACTCTTTGACCGATTTGAGCCAAATTTTGCATAATTACTCTTTATAAATCTTTAGAAAATATAGGCATGAAATCTAGACATTTCACCCCTTCCTCCTGATTTCATTCCCTTGACACTTTGTATCAATTTAGGTTTAAATGTTCTAGATATAAAAAGCCCAGATAACTAGCTAGGTGGTATAACACCTAAGTTCTAGTATAAAATATATTAATATACTAATAATTATATATATATATATATATATATATATATATATATATATATATATATATATATATATATAATATAT